TTCTGTTTCCCAACACGTATCACAGCTCAACTGCTGCAAAGCCCATTGCTGAAGTTCAAGATGTTTCAGGAAGGGCGAGATGGCCATGTTGGGTTTTCCTGTTCTCATTTCACCCACTCCGGGCCAATGTCTCCGATATTACCCTGGCCTGTTTCTTATCCCTGGGACCCCACGAACAGACATACTAAAATGGCAGTAAATAATGACTCGTTTTTACTGCCATTTTAGTGCTGGTGAGGCTAAAGAACAACTGGAAATCGGACGTGTTACTGGTAGGAATGCAGAAGGGTAGACTCACTCTCAAAAAGAGAATGGCCGATACTTAGGAAGTGAATGGTATTCTTACCATATAAGTTAACAGTCTGACTTTTAGGTGTTTATCCTAAAGAACTCTAAACTTATGTACACACAAAAATCTGTACGCCTATGTGTATAGTGACTCTTTTCGTTGTATACAAATTTTATAGTAGTTCGATTTGTAATTGCCCAATTTGAAAACAACCCAGATATTCCTCTGTGGATGAATGGCTAAGCTCCCTGATACATTCATCTTATGGAACACTCTTTAGCAGTAGAAAAAGAATTGACACGCAAAAGCACTATGCTGGGAGAAATAAGATTGTGTCAAAAGGTTTCATACGATATGGCTACATTCATATGACATTTGGAAAAGACAAAACCTGGCAAGAACAGATCCAGGGTTTCCAGGGCTTGGGGATGGAGAAGAGTGTAACTATGGAGGAATAATACAGTTGAGGGAATTTTTTTAGGTGATAGCTCTTTTCACACAATTATGATGATTGAAGTTAGATGAATTTGTTATGGGTTAGAACTCATTGAACTATATACCCAAAAGCCCATTTTATTGTAAGTTAATTTTAGAAAATGGAAATCAAAGTAGCAATTACAAACCCATTACGTTCATTTAACCTGTATTTTTAAAAATTTAAATCATATCTTTTAAGACAAAAAAAGTAGTAAAAAGTGTAGCATTTAAAAAGCATTTTTAAACAAATTTGTAAACCCTATCGTCTAGTAGCTTAATAGAAGACAGAGATGGATTTTTGTATCTGCTTCTGCATTCACCCTGTTGCCCTATCATGCGGCGTGTGGCGTGCTGGAACCTCTGTCGTGTATCTGTCAGATCCTTAGAGTAAAAAGAACAAGTAGTGTCTTAGGAGGATTCTGATCATAGTTTTGTCCCTGGGGACCACCTGAAATCAGCTTGAGGATTTCCAATGGTTCCATTCCCACCCTTTGAGAACCACTGACATCACATTAGACATTTCAGTCACTTTACTGGCATCTTCACCCAAAAACAACCTAGGCACGTGTCCATTGTATCACTCTTTGGCTATAGGCTTTGTTTATATTGATATTTGATTTTAAATTAAATCCGAAGCACAAACATGCTGCATCTCCTACAAATGGAAACTCAGTACCACCCCCTCCCCCTTAAATACAAGGTAAAAACAAAAAGTAACTATACAGTGTGAAATTCAATATGTCTTTATTTTTTAAAACCTGTGAACCATCGAAAATGAATTCTGTATGCCCCCCTTGGGAAATGACCCATGTGCAGGAGTCAAGACAATGGCCGTGATAGGAAGTGTTGGTGGAACACTTCACTACGTCAATCCATTTAATCCTCGTGACTATGGGAAGAGGTAGATACTATTATTATCCTTTTTTTCTTGTCCATTAAAAAAAAACGCTGAAGCACAGCATGATTAATAAAGTTCACCATCATTCTTAGTAAGTTGCAGGCTTGAGCAGGTTATTCCAGAGTCCTGGGAGAATGTTCTCTTCATAGCTGGGTTCCTGTCAATAGGCTCACAGAGGTTGGCATTAGGACGTACCACTGAACCTTATTGTCCTCATCAAGAAAGTAAAGGATGTGGCGCAAGTCGGGATATGTAAGTTAGATGTTTGGTGCCTACTCAGGGCCAGGCAAGAAGTGAGATTCACTCCAGAGCAATAGAGAGTGGTGGGGACTGTGGCAAACTAGAGTGCTCATGTTTGCTAAAGCAGGTAACCACTACTCAGTTTCAACTTGTTTTTGCCTTGCGGTGTGCTAGATGTGCCTCCACCTCTACTTGAGAGAAGATAGAAGTTGGGATAGGTTTGTGTAAAATACCCCAATTTTAAAAGCTCTTAGAAAAGTCCACCATCCATGTGAACTGGCTGGTTTGTGACTTCTCATCTAGGTAATCCTCCAATGACTTGGAGAATTTCATGATTAAATGAGCTGTCTTTAAACAACGACTTTATACAAGCTAAATTCAAATGACAGAAATAGGCAATTTAAAACAATGATGAAAAGGGGATATAGGCTTAGGAAATATCTCAACACAGCCCACATAAATATTGATTATGAGCTAGGTTAATTAAAAGACTAAGATACATTAATTGAATAGTAAAGTGTATTTCTTCGTGTTCCTTTTATGTCATATTAGAGTAAATCAGTCATATTTATCCAGTGCTAATTCTCGGTTTGCAAAGAGCTAATGTAATCATACCACGGGCTTATTGGAATTCTTTTCTTAGACATAGGGACTTGCCCAAGAATGGTGTTAGGAACTTTAGTCAGCACTTGCTCAGAATAGTAAATATGAACATGTGATTTATGCCATTGTGTGTACGGAGTACTGTTTCCTGAGATTTTTTTCTATATATATGTTGGCTGTTTTGTTCCTTGGGTTGGTTTGTTGCTTCCCCCTCGTCTGATGATCAGATTTCCTTCTAAATCCTGGCATTTGACAATGTTGCCAGGCCAGTTTCTCTGTGAATCCACACTAAACCACACTGGTGGTTTCACAACTAATCCAAACTTGGGTTTATGGCTTATGCATGTTTATATGAATTCCTGTGTTTGTTTTCATGTATGTATAACTTCAGAAAGGCTTGTGGAAAAGAGGGACAGACAGGAAGAAATCTATAGACTGACTCTGTGTGTGTGTGTGTGTGTGTGTGTGTGTGTGTGTGCGTGTGTGTGGCTGAACCTTGAAAGATTAGTTTATTAATCAATGACATCATAAGAATTGTATTTTTCCTTGGTTAATAAACTATTTGTTTGGCAGGCCTTGCAAGCCAGCCAGAGCTAGTCATGCCATTTCTTGGAAAAGATCTGAAGTAACTGGTAATTGAAATGATAATCATTTGATCATACTTAGAGCTATTCGAAAGTAGCACTCATCTCCCAACTGGTCTAAAGAACCAACCGTATTTGGTAAAAATGTTGTCAAATTCTATCTGTTCTAATGCTATGACTTATATACCATGATATTTAACTGTTTTCCAGTACGTTCTAAACTTGTGTGCCCTGTCTTGAAGCTGTTCCCATATGCTTTGAAATAATACCCAGGCTGAATTTTTATTCTGACATTTCATAATCACCATGTAATAGTTATAAAATGCATGACAACTACAGATCTTTTATTTCAAGAGGATGATGCAGTGAAGCTGAGTGAAATCATCCGTTGAAATGGTGTTTTGTTGTAAGCTCCATTGTTTATAAAGTATTGACTTTTTTTCATGAGCAGAGGATAAAAACACAGTTCCCACTGTGTCTCCCATTTAGTGGAAGTTCATGTTTAATCATGATAAGGGAAAGGGTTCCATTACGCAAGTTTTAGTTTTCATTTTTGGTAGAGTAGTAGTTATTTTGCTCCTGCTTAACAAACTTTCTTCTCAGATGCAGCTTGGAGCTGGATGAGGAAAAGTGAAATTTTAGATCCTACCTTAAAACATTCTTTTAAAAAAAACTAACTCCAGGACTTCTAATTGTGTAAAGCTTATCTTAATAACCTCCCCGCCCCCCTTTTTATTTACTTTGGAAAAGTGTCTGAGGTGGGGTGGGGGGATGGGGTGTGGGTGTCAGGGGTAGGGGAAGAGTTATGTTAACAGCAAAAGAAGCCCAATCAGTTGTGAATTCTTTTGTTTAATGACTTAGAGATATCTTCCTGTTGTTGTTTGTCAAAAATACTTCTAAGATTTTGTAAGTGTAGGGGTTTTCACAGTTAAGCTCTCTTCAGAAGTCTGAAGTAAAAAGAAATGAAGTCAATTCAAGTTGAAATGTCAAGTGCTTCAAATTATTTAACTTAATAAACCCAGAGAGATGATTTTTTAATTTTTAATCTTCTGGTTAGGGGCCCTCCTTTGTTCTCTGTCTGGATAGCTAGTAAATATCTTGCTGGATTCATGCTGAGTGAGACAAGTTGGTGGTTCCTGGAAACAATTAGAGATGTTAAAATTAAAATTTATGATCCATAGGAGAAATTGAAGTTTCAGCTAATTTTCTCAGATTCAAAGACTTTCTCTTAGTTCCCCCTTTCCCCCTTCCCCAAATGCATTAAAAGAAAAAGTCAGTTCATTTCTCAGCTTACAAAGTTTTTAGGAAACCTGAGAATGTGTAAGTTTCTTTCTTTCACATAACATTTATGATCTATTTCTTTTGGGGTTACATCACAGTTTTATTTAATTTTTAGGAAAAAGTTAAATCCAATATTTGTATATAAGCCAAGGGAAAATGTACCATAAACATAGGAATTTGGGGGTGAGTCAGAGTTCTAAGAACCCTAGATTTATTGAGACCCTTTAGACAGAGCCAGGCTAACCATTAGTCAGCTTGCCCTCACTTTTGCATTTGCAATTAATTGCACTTAAAAAATTAGCCTTCATCCAAGTGATCAGATGATTATCTGATCACAAGAGAAGCTTTGGCAAGTAGTGCTGAAAATGGCTATTAAAATTACTACTCTATTTTTGCACACATTCTTGTCATATTACAAATATATAAATTATGCCCCAACTTTGCAACCAGCAGCGGAAAACCTTAGAACGAATTGAGTGATTGGAGACTGTCCCCGAAAGCCACATTGCCTGTTAGCGTAAGACTAGACCATTGGTATGATATTTTCTCTGGGCTTTATTGAAAATTGATCATTTCCCTCCGACCCACAGATAACGTGTTTGTTTCCCCACCCCATCACTTCTTGTAGGATGAAGTCATCGCAGTTTCCGAAAAGGTGATTGTGAAGCTTGAAGACCTAGTCAAGTGGGTACATTCTGATTTTTCCAAATGGAGATGCGGCCTCCGGGTTGAGTCGGTGAAAACAGAGGTCTTGGGGAGGAATGGACAGAAGGAAGCCCTGCTGAAGTACAGACAGTCAACCCTCAACAGTGGACTCAATTTCAAAGATGTCCTTAAGGAAAAGGCCGACCTTGGTAAATATAAATTTCTGCTTCCAAATTTCATGTGTGGGCATCATGATAACTACTTTTTTTTGTTATAGGGGTTTTTCTGGAAATCCTGTCAAATGTATCTAATTTCCTTAACTTGAAAAGAACCCAATGGAATATGTGGACAGCAGATAAATGGGTGGCTAAGGACTGGATGTCACTCATTATATTATAGAGCAGTGGTTTTCAACTTTCCTAATGCGGTGACCCTTTAATGCAGTTCCTCATGTTGTGGTGACCCCCAACCATAAAATTATTTTTGTTGCTACTTCATAACTGTAAGTTTGCTACTGTTTTGAATCATAATGTAAGTATCTGATATACACGATGTATTAGGCGACCCCTGTGAAAGGGTCGTTTAACCCCCAAAGGGGTTGCGACCCACAGGTTGAAAACCGCTGTTGTAGAGCCTTCTGCATGTGGACCCCTGAGCTAGAGACTGGGTGATATAACACATGGCTTCGAGGGAAGTGTCAAGGCATAAATCTTCATAGAAAAACTCAAACTCCTTGCTGTCAACTACATTCTGAGTCGTCGTCGAGCCCCTGCAGGGCAGAGAGTGACACTGTACCATGGTGTTGCCTCATCTGTCTCCCACTGAGTGGCTGTTGGATTCCCATAGCAGGGCAGCAGCTGAGCAGTCCACCACTATACGCCTGAGGTTCCCTGGGGCTTCATCAGGGACTGAACTAGTATTGATGAAAAGTTTAAATCTTTGTCATACGTAGATGGTATGACATGTATTTGATGCTATGTCAAAATTTCATGTTTTAGGTTAGGTGTAAAACAAAGCGAGGAAGACATATGGGATATTTCATTTGGAGAGAGGGAGCAGCATCAAACAGGCGAGCCCGCTGATTGGTGACCTGTGGCAGAGGTTTCCCTTGCACATAGGCATTCAGCGATGAACATGAACTTTGCGCTTTTTCCTTGGCTCCTTCTTCTCTTCCACTCTAAGTTTAGAGGAGGGGTGGACTTCTGGAAAAGTTATTTTGATTAGTGTTTGAGTCCTGATTCTGCGACTTCCTTAGCAGGATGGCTTTGGACAAATGATTTAATCTCAGCCTCAGTTGAAGTCTTGGTGGCACAGTGGTTAAAAGTCTTAGCTGCTAACCAAAGAGTTAGTAGTTCAAACCCCCCAACTTCTCTGTGGGAGAAAGGTGTAGTAGCCAATTTCCATAAAGATCCATAGCTTCAGAAATCCTACAGTATGGCTTTACCCTATCCTATAGAGTTGCCATGAGTTAGAATCAACTGGACTATAACAGGTTGGTTTTGTTTTGTTTTGTTTTTTGGTTTAAGCCTCAATTTCCCCATCTTGAAAGTAGGGGAACTTTACAGGATCATTGCAAGATGTAAGAAATAAAAGATGTAGTACAATACCTGCCAAATAAAAGGGACTATGTAATTACTTATATGATTTTGGTATTTTCCCCTTAACTCTTTCTTCTCCAGTGTGTGTGTGTGTGTGTGTGTGTGTGTGTTCTTCCTGGCTCTCTCATAGCATTGCTCAAGACCAAAGTTGTTGACCTCTTATTTAAACTAGTTATTTCCTCTTTTGGCAAAGAGGAGCTTCACTTTGAGCATTTTTAGCATATTAAAGCACCGCTGTCTTTCTCTAGCACAAGGCTGATTTTCACAGCTCCATTTTACGCTTAATGTGACAACTTCCGGTATTGAGTCCTTTGTTTTGTCTTTGGTTTTGTTTTTTAAACCTAGAGCTTAACTATTGGAACAAATCTAGACTACTTCTTTTAATTGCCACAAAAAGACCGAAAACCACCGTAACTGCTTTTGTCCTTCACGTGACTCTAGTTTGTGATGAGCTGGTGCTGTGTTTGCGGATACATTGATATTTTTGTGTAGTTTGAGTTTAATAATCAACAGTTTCCTGGCAGCTTTCAGTAGATGTCAGGTGATGATATTTTGGACATGACTGGCTCAGGCCAAGTGCACAGTTAGAGAAAATTATTCAACTACTACTTTTCCTGCTAAAGCGAAAGACCTTTTATTGACTTAAGGCATTCTGTATATGCGGTTACACTCCACTCCCTATTTTGTGAAATATACAGTGTTGTCTTCTGATGTATGATAATTCTGAGTAATACATCTGATATGTTGCTAAACTCATACATGAGCTAAGCAGCATTGCTATTGTCTGGTGTTTTCCTTAACATTAAAAAATTCTGTGTTTGTTTGATATTCTGTTTTATTTTTTGTTTCTTTTTTTGTTATAAAATATATCATAACTATTATAAAAACTAAACAGGAAACCTCCAGGAGACAGAAGGATGTGTTGGTTAAGCTTGATGTCACTCTGATAAACAGAAGTATTTATAGCAGAGTCATTTTGTATTTAAAATGGATGCTCTATTGATGAATATGAAAAGTAATTCAATCTCTTGATTCCATCAAAAGAACTCGAGATCTCAACTCTGACTTGGTTCTTAAATAAATAAATCAATGTCCCCAAACGATCCTCCTGCGATTGATTGCACTGGAAATTGGATTATAGTGCATATTTAAAGGACTTGCAAGTGGTTTGGCCTAGAAACTTCAGATTCGTGGTTTGGAATCTGGTTGCACGTTAGATGTACCAGGGGATTTAAAAACAATACTATGGCCGAGTCCATGGGCTTGGAGGCAGGGCCAAGGAATCGGTACTGATCAAAGTCTTCCCAAGTGATTCCAGTTTTTTCAGCCTCATCTGGGTGACAGCTCCACTGGCGAAGGCAAAGAACCCACCGGAGATTTGATCGGGAGGTTTCTCCCTGGTGGGCAAGTGGCTCCATGTATTTTTTTTTCCTTAATGTAAAATACCCCTTTAAGGATAGAATTTGGGGCCTTGAAATTCTCCTCAGTTGGTATGAGCTGTGGGGAATTTGAGACAAATAGCTTTTGTAATTGGAATGCACACTGTGTTGTAATAATGTGGAAAGAGAAACAAAAAATTTCCTTAATGTAATGAGTTTCCATTATCTGCCTGATCTAAGGCTTACAAGTCTACATTGCCAGGCTTTATCCTGGGGGTGGGGGGTCCTGGGGTGGGGTCATTTGCTGTCTGTGCCTTCCTGTCACAGCACTTTCTCTTCAACCTCTTCCTTTCTCTGTCTGTGACATCCAACTCTTTGTTGTCTGTACTTGTCTTTCTACACAGTGGTTTTCTTATCTCCCTCTCTCTCAGCCACACAGAAACCATGTCCAACACCACATTGTTCATGGAAGTTCACACACTTATTAGGGTTTTCCTTCTGTAGAACCCTTCCAACCCCACATTGTTCTTCCCAAAGAAAGAAGGTGAACTGTGAGATTACTTAAACCCAACCCCCCAACCCCCCATTCTTTTTTTTTCTTCCGGGTGGAAGTAAGCAAAGAATGCTAAGATTTCACCTTTCTGTGCATAAAATAAAACTCCCATATGCTTCTGTTGCATTTTTCTTTTTAATTATTTTCATACCGGAGTCATTTCATCATGTTCCAACATCAATAGGAACAAAGTAATTAGGTTGACTCTTAAAGAAAGGATTTTAAACTACAAAAGCTAATTAAGGAACTCCTCATGCTCAGATGCTCAGTGTTTGGGTAGAATAAGTTCCCTCTCATCCCAGTTTGTGTCACTTCCGGTCTCTCTCAGAATAGTCAATCAGAAAGCACACCACCACCAACAGAAAAAACAGCAACGACAAAAAGAATGTTCTCACAAATGTGTGTCTGCCAACAGACGCATGCTCTGCAAGGAGAAACTCTGCCCCAAATGGCAGCGTCCAATAACTGCTCGGATTAAAATCACCAGTCTTTCTTCTGGAACGCTTCCTTCCTTCAGAAAATACAGTTGGACATTATCTGTGGGTTTTCTGTTTGCCTTAAAACAAAACAAAACTCTCCGGATTTTTCACTTAAGATTCTAAACGACCGATGACTAAAAACTGCAGCTCTAGACAGTGGAAAAACGAATCATCTTAGAAAAACACTTCTGAGCTGGGGTGGCGCTCGCTCACTGCTCCCCTCTTCTTTGTTCTTTGCAAAGAAAGAAAGTTCAACATGAAACCGATGCAAATTGTGACTTTCCTTGGTGAAGTGCTTCACCTTCTTTCCGGCTGTTTCATACGGAAGCTTATTGAAAAAAAGAAAAGAAAGAAAAAAGAAAGAAATCACTGTTAAAATAAAAGGGTTAAGGAATGTATTATTCATAAGCATAATGAACACGAGAACCTGTTTTTCCAGAAGAATTGGGTTGATTAAATCATTCACTACACAGGCCACTCGTTATTTATTTTTGTCTTTAGAATTACAGTACTTAGCTTTTGTAATAAAGTGGAGTTGATGCCCATATTTGGTATGGCAGTTGTAAGTAGTCAGATGAAGAATTATTTCATTTTACAAAATTTTCAGCAACTAAAGAATACAAACACTATCAGTTAAACATAACAAACTTGCATTTTTTATTCCTTGGGCTATAGTTTTTTAAAAAAATCAAATTATTGTATATAACACTGCTTCTTACAGGGTTCCTTTAAGTGAAGTTTGAAAGCTGCAGTGTAAGCTTTATTGGCCTATAAATATGTCATTATAGTTGGACTACATTTATATGCTTTGGATTGTTGTTTAAGCCAAGAAAATATGTCTCTACAGGTTGACTTTTTATTGAAACCCTTTGAGGCATACAACAGAATGTATTTTAGGCCAAGGTTATTAAAACAGCATTTTCATTTTTTGTAGCAGACTCATTGTCAATTATGTTGCCACAAACTGTCTGTGGATGGGCAGTTATGAATGGTTTCATCTCCAAATGTGTCTTCAGAAAAAGGAAGAAAAGATAGAGGCGTCTGAGCTGAAATTGAGAAAAGAGATCAAAAGATTGTGGGTGTGGGCATGGCTGAATTTAATAATGGGGGTTCCCTCTCTTCAATTTCTGTTTCTAAAGGCCCATCAAATTGAGAGTGGGCAGCAATGCCTGCTGTACTCTTGCTCCAGGTGTACTTTTG